CTGTCCCGGGCGGCTCCCGGGGCTCTGTGGGCCGGGCCGGAGGGGCGGAGGGGACACGGGGCAGCAGCAGCAGCGAGGACAGCAGCAGTGGGGATTCACTGGGTGCCCGTGTCAGGAGCCTCCTGGGCAGCACCGGGGGGCACCTGGGCAGCACCAGGGGACAGCCAGGCACGTTCCAGAGGGCTCTGGAGGACAGCAGCAGTGGGGATTCACTGGGTGCCCGCGTCCGGAGCCTCCTGGGCAGCACCGGGGGACAGCCGGGCACGTTCCATGGGGCTCTCCAGGACAGCAGCAGTGGGGATTCGCTTGGTGCCCGTGTCTGGAGCCTCCTGGGCAGCTCCCGGGCACAGCCAGGCACATTCCAGGGAGCTCTGGAGAACAGCAGCAGTGGGGATTCACTCAGCGCCCGTGTCCGGAGCCTCCTGGGGCCGGCAGCCCCGGGCACCGCTGCCCACCAGATCCTCAGGGACGCCGAGGAGCAGGAGAGGAAAATCCGAGGTGAGAACGTGGCTCGGGTGGGTTTGGCACAGCCCAAATTGTGGGATCATATCAGGGTGTGATGGGAGGTGGCTGCTTCCTGCCTCCGAGGGGATTGTTTGTGTTTTAATTTAATTTGTGCCTTAATGGGACAGGGCTCTGGTGAGGGACGCTCTCCTGTAATCTGTGCTGTGGTAGAACTGGGCTTCTCCGGTTTGAAAACCTTATTTTCCTGACATCACTGTAAAGAATTACTTTGTCCACACAGTTATTAAGTCAGGAATGTGGGGAAGGATTGTGTGAGTGAGCTCTGACTTGTGTCTGTAACTATGAAGATGACAGAACCAGGAAAGAGTCTTGGATTCAAGGAGCCATTTTACACTGTATTATTCCTGCTCATTCCAGGAGCTCTGCAATTTGATGTGGTCCTTGTTCTCTCAGCTGGGGTAACTGGAAATGCACAGCTTTGATTTAAGTTAAAAACTCTTGTCATATACTAAATGGGAAAGGAAACCTCTCATGGTTTGTGTTTTTGGCAGCCTGGGTGAAGCTGAAACTGGCCAGCCAGTCCCAGGAGTCTGGGCCAGGCAGGGATGAAGAGACCCAGCACAGGATGGAGGGGATGAAGGCAGAGCTGCTCCCAAAGACCAGGGAATCCGCACAAGCCAAGGTACAGACCAGCTCAGGCTGGGGGAAATGCTGCTGCACCTGCCCTTGGGGTGTTTATGGCTCTTCTTGTGGTTTTCCCAGGAATTTTGGGGTGATTTGGCTGTGGGGTGAGACTCAGCTGCAGATGTCCCAGAGGAAGGTGTGAAGGAAGAGATGTGGGGGGAGAGTTGCTGTGAGGAAGTGCCCAGAGCTCCTGGTTCTGGGTTGGCTGGAGGAATTCTTTCCACAGAATATTTGTGGAGGTGCAGATTGTGCCTGTGGCAGGAGTTGGGTGTCCCTGGAACATCCTCGGGCACTGGGAGGTGTCTGCTGGGTGCTGCCCACGTGGAGCTGGCCTTGAGAGGCTCCTGGGGCAGGAGGGAGGGAATTGTCCCTGCTGGCTCAGAGGGAAGGGGCTGCTCCAGGATTCCTGCAGGTGAGGATGCAGGGGGAAATCAGAGTGGTGGGCACAGGATGTTCTCCACAAGAGCCTGGGAAGGGTCTGGGAGTGTGGAAGTGTCAGTGGTGGATCAGGATCAGGGCTGAGGAGGTTCAGGCTCTGCAGCTCTGATCGTCTGGGAGAGCTTGCCCCAGAATTGCCATGGTTTGTGCATCTCTTTGGAGTGTTTCCAGCTCATGTATAAAATGCTGGAATTGGTCTGAGCAGGAGTGTGGTACCTTTGTTTTCATTTAAATGTCCATTTTTGGCCCTGCTCTGCTGCCCAGGGTGGTTATGGCAGGATTTTTAGGGGCTGGTGTTTCAGAGAAGTGCCCTGAGCTTTAGGAAGAGTTTCTTATTTTTCCCTTGTTTTTTTTCCTGTTTGCTCGTGCAGCCTGCCTGCCTCCCAGGAAAAGCAGCAGGGGTTGGTTTGTTTGTTTTAATTAAAAGCCCTGCATTAGCAGGAGTGACAGTCAGTGCTTTAGGAGTACTCTGTGTTTAGAGCTTCTCTGGAAGCAGTGCTGGGAGCAGCTCCCAAAACCCATCAGGCCAAACTTCCCAGATATTCCTGGACTGCTGGAATCTGGGCAGCTGGGGGAAAAGAAAGGGACTGTTTTATTAATAATCATTTATAAATGAATTATCTAAATATTATTTAATATTTTAGAAATTCACATTTCTTAAAATTCAGATTTCTTAAAAGAGATAAACAAAACACAAATACAAAACCAGAGGCATCAAAGCTTTTTTTCCCCCCCAGCTTTCAGATCTTGCTGGGTCACAGCTTTGTCCCTGAAATGAACTCTGTGCAGTGTGGAGCCAAGGATTTTACCTTTGTGTGACTCAGTGTCAGCTGGGGATTGTTTTATCCACATTTAGAGTGAGAAGAAATTCACCTTAATTTTGCAAACCAAGCTGCCAAGAAATTGCTTTCGTTCAACCACAGCACCTCCTGCTTTGATCTCGAAAATATTTTTTGCACTGCAATGTTTTTAATTTGAGATAAAAAATGGTTTGAATTTGCAGAGGGAAGGTGACTGGGTTTTTTAAATTGTACTTAAGATAAATGTATTTTTCCCTCCAAGCCAAACACTGTCACTGAAAAATACAGATTGTTCAAAACTGCTGCACTGAAAAAAAACACAGCCAGGCAAAATAATCTGTAAATTTAATGGGAGCTGTTGTGTACAATAAGTGGGGAAGTTTAGAGCCTAAGTGCTGTGCATGGACTTAAAAAGAACACAACAAAGATTAGGAAAAGATATTTTCCTTCTACTGAGCTTTTCAGACTGAGAAGGACAAACTGTTGCTACAGCTCCAGCAAACAGTTGCTCCAGTGGGATCTTTGGCATCTCTGTGTGGGGCTGTTGGGGTGGATGTGCTCTGGGAATGCTCAGACTCTGCCTCTCCTTCCCAGAGGTGACAGCTCCAGGAGTTCAGGTGCCACTGAGGCATTTTCCTGTGTGCCACGGGAGTGTGTGAAGTCTGTGGGCAGAGAAAGGAGCAGGACACCTCGGGGAAATTCTCTGGGATGTTTTTCTTGGGAAGGTTTTCCATCTTTTGAGGCAGTTGAGGGTCTCTGAGAAATGTTTGTCACCGCAGGAGAAATCCTGGGGGTGTCCCACCTTGGGCTGGCAGAGGGTCCAGGAGGGGCTGCAGACGTGGCCTCCAGGGCTCTGGAGAGGCTCAGAACCCCATGAATATTCAACCTGAGCAGGCTGGGAGAGCTGGGGGTGCTCACCTGGAGAGGGGAAGGGTCTGGGGAGAACTTCAGCCCCTTGCAGGGTCTGCAGGGGCTCCAGGAGAGCTGGGGAGGGACTGGGGCCAAGGGCTGCAGGGCCAGGAGCAATGCCCAAGGCCAGGCTGGACATTGGGATTGGATCCAGCTGGGATAACAGGAGCTGTCCCTGCCATGGCAGGTTTGGAGCTGCTGTTGGATGTAAATACAATTCCAGCATCTTCAGCCTCAGGATTCTCCTCCTAAATTGAAAACCTGATCCCCCACCTGTATTTTAGGCTGCCAGATGCTCCCTCTTCCCTTTCCTGTGAGCTCCTTTCCCCCTGGTGCAGTGTTTTCCTCCCCTCCTTGCTGTACTTTTCCACTCCTTGTGCTTTCTCACTTCTCCAGGAAGTTCACGGAGTTGTAGCTCTAAATTTGCTCTGCAGGCTCCTGTGGATCATATGGCACAGGGAGCTTTTTTGGAAGGATGACACATAACAGGCACAATAAAACATGTGAAAGGCTTGGGAAGATGAGTTTATCACAACTTCTGTGCCTGCTCTCGCTGGTGGGAGTTGCTCTGGATTACCTCAGGCCGTTGAACTGGCACGTGGTGCAGGGAGGAGAAGTCTTGGGATCATCCCTGTGCTGGCACAGCTCTGCTCCGTGTCCCTGTGCTCTCCCACAGGCCCTGGCTGTCCCTCCTGGCTGGAGGAAATGCCAGAGAAACTGATTTGTTGCCTTAAATGCATAAAACTTCCCCTAAGAGAGGTGGGATAATGATCCAGGCCCTAGTTGCTGCTGTCATGACATCTGGGATGGAGAAAGGCTGGGAAAGCTGTTGTGAAATACTTGTTTGTGTGTTTGGTTTACACCAAAAATGTTTCCCACTGCTGTTTCTCACCAAATTCCCAGCGGTTGGTGGGGATGTAATCACCCAGGGACCCGTGTTGCTTCATTACTGGAATACACTCTGCTGCTTCCACAGTTGTCCCAGTCAGTAGGAAAAAGTAAATATAACCCAGATTTTTGTGTCTCTTTTCCCTAATTAAGCTTATCTGGCCCATCTCCATGGCAGCACATTTATCTCAGATTTGCTCTCTTCAGTGGAAGTGGTGGAATTTTGGATTACACTTGAATTTATAAATTGATGTTGACGGTTGGAATCACAGAATCATTCAGGATGGAAAAGACCTCTGAGATCATCGAGTCCAGCCACCAACCAGCACCACCATGTTCAGCACTGAAGTATCCTCAAATGCCTCATCCACACATTTTTTTAGCAATTCCAGGGACGGTGACATCACCAGCTCCCTCTTCCAATGCCTGGTAACCCTTTCCAGGGAGAAATTGTTCCCAGGATCCCATCTAACCGTCCTCTGGTTCAACCTGAGGCCATTCCAGAGGCTCTGTGCCCAGGAGGGTGCTGCCTGAACCCCAGACATGGGCTGGGAGGGCTGGCTCCCCATGGGATTGTCCCTGTCCTGTCCCTTGCCAGTGCCCCGTGGCAGCGATGGCAGAGGTGCTGCTCCCTGGCACGGGCTGTGCAGGCTGCTGTGGGGTTCTGTCGGGGTGGGGACAGCTCTGTGTTCCATCAGTGCTGATCCAGGTGAGATCTCAGCTCTTGGTGTCCTCCAGGGCAGCACCTCCCGTGGATTTGGGTCAGCACAGCTGGCAATGGTCACTTGGCACTTAGAAAGGATAAAGCTCTAATTAGGTCATTAAGAGCTGAGTTCCCTCCCTTCCTGATGATAAACTCCTGGTTGGTGACAGCTCTCAGCTTTGGCTTTTCCCGTCCAGCTTTTGGCCAGGAATGACCTCTGGGAACTGTGCTCTGTTTTTCAGGATCCGTGGCTCTGTGGTTTGGGAGCAGGTTCTGAGTATCTGAGGAAGCAGGAACAGGACCTGGAGCGTTTCCAGGCTCCCAGGTTTCCCAGGGACAGGCACAGACAGACAGACAGACAGCTCTTCCCGTCCAGCTCCCCACCAGCAGTGCCAGTCCCTAGAGCTGATCCCTGGGATTGCTCCCTGCTGCAGGACGTGCAGCTCAAACTGTGGGGTGCTGCTGGGCTGCAGGACATGCAGCTGGAGACTCAGAGAACAGATGGGCTGCAGGACATGCAGCTGAAGCCCCAGAGCACTGCTGGGCTGCAGGACATGCAGCTGAAGCCCCAGAGCACTGCTGGGCTGCAGGACATGCAGCTGGAGACTCGGAGAACAGATGGGCTGCAGGACATGCAGCTGAAATCACAGAGCACTGCTGGGCTGCAGGACATGCAGCTGGAGCCCTGGAATTCTTCTGAGCTGCAGGACATGCAGGACATGCAGCTGAAATCACAGAGCACTGCTGAGCTGCAGGACATGAAGCTGAAGCCCCAGAGCACTGCTGGGCTGCAGGACATGCAGGACATGCAGCTGAAGCCCCAGAGCACCGCTGAGCCGCAGGACATGCAGCTGGAGCCCTGGAATTCTTCTGAGCTGCAGGACATGCAGAACATGCAGCTGAAGCCCCAGAGCACTGCTGGGCTGCAGGACATGCAGCTGGAGCCTCAAAGAACTGCTGAGCTGCAGGACATGCAGGACATGCAGCTGCAATCACGGAGCACTGCTGGGCTGCAGGACATGCAGGACATGCAGCTGAAATCACAGAGCACTGCTGGGCTGCAGGACATGCAGCTGAAGCCCCAGAGCAGCACTGAGCTGCAGGACATGCAGCTGGAGCCCCAGAGCAGCACTGAGCTGCGAGTGTGTGAGCAGCACCCAGCCGTGGAGCACAGCAGTGCCGTGGCAGAGCTCTGTGGCCCCCTGGCAGGGGATCCCTGTGCAGGGAGCGGTGCAGCTGCCCCCCGTGCCCACGGGCAGCGGGGCGAGCCGAGCTCCTCCGTCACCCTCTGCTCGTGGAGGCGGGCTCCAGCCCCGCTGGGACCCCGGGCACGCAGCCCCAGCCTGGCCAAGGACGGGATCCTGCCGGGGGAGGCTCCCTGTGCTCGCCCTGGGGAGGAGAGGCTGGCCACAGAGCCCTGGGAGAGGATCCAGAGCTGTCCCCCCAGCCCCACGCTGGCCCGCTCCTGGGAGGCCAGGGATGCTGCAGAGCTTCCTCCTGTCCCTGCTGCCAGTGCTGGAGCTGGAGCTCCTCAGGGAACAGCCCGGGGGCCTGGGAGCATCCACGCTGGGCAAACACAGAGCCTGGCTGCACAGCAGCCCCAAATCCACCCTGGGCAAACACAGAGCCTGGCTGCACAGCAGCCCCTAATCCACCCTGGGCAAACACAAACACAGAGCCTGGCTGCACAGCAGCCCCAAATCCACACTGGGCAAACACAAACACAGAGCCTGGCTGCACAGCAGCCCCAAATCCACCCTGGGCAAACACAAACACAGAGCCTGCCTGCACAGCAGCCCCAAATCCCGGCTGCAGGTGTGGCTGGGGGGCACGGACACAGCACGGCGCTCAGCCAGGAAATAAATGCACTGCTTGAACCCCGCTCTGTCAGCTCACCCCAGCAGCAGGAGATCCCAGCTGGGCACACCCAGCTCTGTGACAGCTCCAAGGGCTCAGGTCCAGCTGCACAGGGGGGTCTGGGGAAGGGCTCAGGTCCAGCTGCACAGGGGGGTTTGCTGAAGGGCCCCGGTGAGGCATTGACAGAGGGCAGGAAAAGCCCCACTGAGGCAGCTCTCGTTCCAGAAGAGGCTGTGAGGGAGCACAAGGCTCCTTCTCACCCTTTACCTGCAGAGGAGGCTTTCTCCAGCACACCTGAGGCTCCCTCATCAGCAGTGAGGAGATTCCTGAGTTGTGTGCACATCACCCTCTCCTCCAGGGCCTATCGCTCCGAGCTGCGCAGGGCCGGGACCGCTGGGGCTGGGATGGAGCTGTGGGACAAACCCCAAGTGAAGGCTTTAAAAGCAGCTCCAGAAGCTTCAGTGGAAGGTGTTCCTAAATTCCCTCCTGCTGAGGGTATTCCAGCTGTGCCAGTGGCAGATCCCAGCCAGGCGGTTTCCCCCAGGCAGGAGCTGCTGCTGCAGGGCAGGGCCAGAGCCACGCTCCGGGGCTCAGGGGCTCAGGGTGCAGAGGGGATCCCCAGCTCTGTCCCTCCTGCAAAACCTGGGAGAAGGACTTCTGATGCTGCCACTCAGATCACCACAGACAGTCCTACAAAGACCAGCTTCTCAGCAGAAATCAGCCTTGATGCCTGGCAGGGGGGAAATGCTGCCCAGCACTCGTCGCTCCCCAGAGCCCCTGAAGCTCCCGGCGTTCCAGCCTCATCCCACGGGGAGATTCCTCCCTTCCCAAGGCAGCCTGGTGAGCAAATTCCTGTCTTACCTGTGTCTGTGGACTGGGATCTGTACAAGGTTAAGATGTTGATCAATGTTAAAACCCAAACCCAACCCTTAAACTTGGGTTTTTCAGCCTTGTCGGGAGGGATTTGTGTGGATGCAGTTTGGGTTCACTTCAGGTTTCCCTAGAACTGAATTCATTGTGTCCAAGCGTGGTTGGAGAATATTTTCTGGTGTTTATGTGTAGATGATTGGATTTGATTCACTTGGAGTTCAGTGAGAGGTGGATCTGGTTACTGATTACTCTCTAATCAAGATAACACCAAAAAAATCAGAGGGAAATCTGCACATTGCTGCTTTTAATAGAATTAAACAGAAAACTGGGCAGGGTTTGGGGTATCTGTCAGCAGAGGGCTGTGGATGTTCACAGGGGTTCCCACCCCAGTGGTGTTCTGTACTGGGGCTCTCTTGCTGCTTTTATTGACTTGAGGGACATGTCCCCACTCCTTTAAAATGATTCCCTCAGACTGGGAGCTCTGTGGATCCAGGGGATGTTTCTGTAAGTCAGTGGTTGCCACCCTGATCACAATTTTAATATTCAATAGGTGAAGCTGTTTTCCCAGGTAAGTGATGGCAACCTTCTACCTTCGTGTGGGTATTAAAAAACTCAGTTATTTAACTGAATTAATGAAATAGTAGTTGCAATTTGCTAAAGAAGGGGGCATTTCTCAGGCTTTAGCAGCAGGAACACCCTGAGCAGCCCCCCCAGGCCCTGCAGTGTTGCACTGGAGGTTTCCTGCTCACTGTTTCCCTTCCACCCCCAGCCCAGCCCTTGCTGCTGCCCTACAAGCCCTTGGGAAGTGCTGGCATGTATTATGTGCCCTGCCAGAGATCAGGAGCCAGCGTGTCCCCAGAGAGCAGCGAGGCCAGCAGAAACAGCTCCCACTCAGGTACTGCATCCTCCTCCTCCAGGGGTCAACAGGGTGCCCTGAATCGGCTGTGACCCCACAAACACAATTCCTCTGCAGCTCTGCCCTCCATCTCTGGGCTGGGAGGGGGGTTCCTGCTCCATTCTGGCACTGGAAAGGAGCACTAGAACCTGACAATCCCTTACTTTCCTCTGGGAATTACTGCTCACCCTTTCATATCACTTGCCCTGGAAAGAATGGATCACTGGGCACTGCGGGTTTGATTTGCAGGTTGATCTCACTCGGAGCTTTTTAATATCCAAAGTTATCTATAGACAAAACTCACGTTAAGAGATGCCCAGCTCTGAATTCCAGCAGTGGTGACCAAGGGATCCAACACTGCCAGAAGTGTCCAGATCAGTCACTACAGCCACAAACTGTGCTGGGCATGCTTCAGATGTCCCTGCTCTTGACCTTTTTCAGGTTTATCTGAGGAAACGTGTCCAGAATGAGAGGAACAAATGTGATACAAATCTGTTGTTTTGCAGAAATGATGATGCCATATATAAAAATTCACTATGCAAATGAAGCAGCACAAAGTTCTAGGAAAGCGTACAGCAGGATGAAAAAACACATTTTGTTTTTCCCAGTCCCTGCTGCACTCGGGGCTCAGCTCAGGGGGAGCAGCTGAGGGAGCTGAGAGCAGGAAACCCATGGGATGTAGCCAGGTGGGGCTGGCAGGGGTGAGAGATTGGTGGGGACAGTTGTGGGTTTCTGATGTTGAGATCATGGAGTGATGGAATGCTTTGCTCGGAAGCACCTTAAATCCCAGCCCAGCCCAGCCATGGCAGGGACACCTCCCACAGTGCCAGGCTGCTCCAGCCCTGTCCAGCCTGGCCTGGGACACTGCCAGGGCTCCTGGCTGCTGGCTGAGGGTGGCATTTCTGTGCTTTCCCTGTTTGCACTGCACTGCTGCTGCTCTCTTGCAGGGTGCGAGGATGCGGCTGCAGTGCTCCTGGCCCGAGTGCTGGCCCTGGGGGACGATTCCCCTCCAGCCAGGACAGCTGCCCAGCACAGAGGGACAAGCCATGGCCACAGGGCTAAGCTGGCCTGGGCTGAGGAGCAGAGGACACCACTGGAACAATCTTCAGGTAATTGGAATGTGGCTTTAATTCTGTAATTGTTTGTGTGCCTTCGTACACGTGAAAGAAGACAGAGGAGAAGATTGACATTTCAGGGTCCGTGGTTCGGTGACATTGCTGACAGTCTGCCAGAAAATGCTAAATTTGACTCGTTTTTCTCTTCCTGGTCTTTCTGCTTCTCCCTGAGAGATAAAATGCAGCTTTCCCTGGGAGGCTGTGGGCCCTGGCAGTGTCCCAGGCCAGGCTGCACAGGGCTGGGAGCAGCCTGGGGCAGTGGCAGGGGTGTCCCTGTCTGTGGCAGGGGTGCCACTGGATGGGATTTAAGGTATCTCCAACCCAAACTATTCCATGATTCCATGGAATACTTGGCCATCAGTACTTGCTGGCACTCCTGTGTCTCCAGGGCTGTGTGGGATTGTCAGGAATTCCCTGGGGCTGTCCCTGCCCACGGCCCTGTGATGTCACATCAGGTTCCTCTGTCCCCTGGCTGTCCCCAACCTCTGGCTGTGGTTTTGCTGTCCCTGTCCCTGCCAGGCTGGCCTTGCTGGAGGAGCCTGCCCCGGCAGGGGGGTCAGGGTTTGCTCCTCCAGGGGCCACCCCGAGCTCCATTTGCTGAGGATGCTGCCAAAGTCCAGCTGATTTTGGGGGTTTGACTCTGGCTCTGGTGGCAGCAGCTGACATGAATCCTCGTGGACACGTTTGCTCAGCACAAATACTGACTGTGAGTGGCTGATGGCCGGGTTTCCATCCCTGGACACGGTGACAGTTCTGGGTGGCTGCCATCTGTCCTGCAGCAGCTGCTCTCCTGATGTTTCCTGTCAGGAAGTTGTCCTGGTGTGTTGATAGAGGTTCCATCTGATTATTTTCATTTTTTCCTTCAGGTGGGGTTTTATCTTTGGAGTTTTTCCTCTCAGAATTGAGAGATTTTGGTGTTGCCAGAAGCCAATTTTTATTTGCAGAGGAAAATTTCAGTGGTTATTATGTAAAGCTATCAGTAACCGGGATAAAAATGAGAGGGGAACAAAAGTGTTAATATAAAATTATCTTGTAACAGTTTTTTATAGCTGTGATGGTCTAAAGGCCCAGGTAAGAAACGAACTGTGAGGAGAAAGACTCTTCTGTGAAGGCAGCCAGTGCAGCTGGAACTTTAAAGATGCTTTCAGAAGAAAGACTTGTCTTAAATCTTCCCTGACTTCTTCAACCATATTTTTAGATGATCTAATAAAAGATTACCTCTACCCACAGAGCTTGTCTAGAGCTTAAAATTATGCAAGTTATGTATTTTTTTTAAAAAAAGTTTCTCTCTACAAACTTATTTTTATTTTTTGCCTGTTTACATTCCTTCCATTTCTTGGTAACTTTCTAAAAAGCCAGGAATAGCAAAGTTCTGCCTGGCATTCCCAAGCCTGATCTCATTTGTCAGGAGGATGTGGAGGAAGCCTCTTACACAAGTTTATAAACATTGCCCTTGTATGGGAAGAAAGATTCCTGCACTTGCAGGGTTGGTGAGGCTGGGGCTGGCTGCAGCGTCCGTGAGCTCTGTGTCCCTGTGCTGGGGAGGGAGGAGATCCAATGGCCCAGCCCTGCATGAAGAAACAGCACAGAACACACTTTAAAACTCAGTTTTACATTATATTAATAGCTACTTTAAAGCTGTTTTGGAGGGTGGTCCTGGCACGTGCTGTGTGTGCTTCAGGGATGGCCAGAGCATCCCCATCCTGGGTGGGGCCAGGGGACCCGGAGGGGCTTTGGGCTCTCTTCCATCGCTCTCAGGAAAGGCTCAGTTCAGTGTTGGTCAGGGCATTTCCCTGAGGTGGAATCAAATTCCTCCCCAGATTCACTTGGATATAACGTTCTCTGGAATTCCATGTTGCAAATGGTATAAAATGCTGTTTATGTGATTTTAATAATGCTCAAAGTGCATTTCCAAGTTCACTGCATTTGGGAATGAGCTCAGTGATCCCCCTGTTAATCCTTCGATGTGTTTTGGAAGTTTTAGGATGGAAATCCTCCATTGAAGTTGAGAAATGAAACATTTGAGTGTTTTGTTCTCTTGCAGAGCTCCCGGATGGCTCTGGGCGTGTAGAACCCTCCGGTTGTGCCCCTGACCCCGCGAGCGGCGGCTGCTGCCCGGCTCCCCGGCACTTCTGTGGGGTCTCTGCTGGAGCAGGACCCGCTGTCCCCTCCTCGGGGGCTGTCCTGGCCGGGGCACAGCGGCAGGGTCCCCGTGTGCCCCCCGGGCCGGGCCAGCAGCTCTGGGCTCTCCCTGCGGAGGCCGATGACAGCGGGAGCGAGGAGCCCGGCGCAGCCTTTGGGAGCGGGATGGAGCCGCAGCAGGACGCTGCTGGAAGGGATCCTGCAGCGCCCAGCCCAGCAGCTCGCCCCGCTGGGAGCCGGGGGAAGGCAGCACGGCAGAGGAGCCGCCCCAGGGGCAGCCTGGGGGAGCTGTGGGTGACGTTCCTGGAGCGCCAGAGCAGACAGCAGCAGCATTCCGGGGAGAGCCGAGAGCTGTCCCTCGTGGAGCGCCTGGAGCGGCTGGCCAGGCTCCTGCAGAATCCCATCAGGCACACCCTGGCACCGGCAGCGGCTGGGGAGAAGGTTCCTGAGGGGGGAACACAGGGAAGGGAGCGGCTGAAGATCCGCCTGGCAGGAGGAGGCAGGTCTGGGAGCGGCGCGGAGCCCCGGGGAACGCGAGCGGGACGGAGACCACAGGTGATCCAGGAGGAGCTCGGGGCACACAGGCCGGGGCAGAAGGTGATCCAGCACCTGAAGAGGATTCTGGAGCAGCAGCAGCAGCAGCTGGGAATTGCGAGTGACAGCTCCTCGGAGGCCAGGCTGAGCGCAGAGCCCGGCGGCTGCAGCAGCTGCAGCACCTCGGGGTGGGACACGGGGACCCCGGCAGGGCTGGACACCTCCCCCGCCTCCGGGGACAGCAGCTCCCTGTCCCTGGCCACCATCGACACGGCCAGGCTGCTGCAGGCCTTTGGGCAGCACAGGCTGGGGCTGGGCTCACAGCTGGGCTCACAGCCTGTCACACAGCCTGCCCCAGAGCTGGCCCCACAGCCTACCCCACAGCTGGGCTCACAGCCTGTCACACAGCTGGGCTCACAGCTGGGCTCACAGCCTGTCACACAGCTGGGCTCACAGCCTGCCCCACAGCTGGCCCCACAGCCTGCCCCAGAGCTGCCCCCGAGGCTGGCCCAGCTGTACTGTGCCATCAGCCAGCAGAAGAGCCGCTCGGAGCGCTGGGATGAGGAGAGCGAAGGAGCAGGGGCTGAGAGCCTCATGAAAGGGCAGCAGAGCCAGGTGAGAGCTCCCTGAGCCCAGCTCGGAATGCTCCCCAGGGAATTCCCACTGCTGGACGGGCTCCCTTAGCTGGGAGGCGCTGAATGGTTTCTAGGGGAGTTCCATGTTCATGGGACCAAGGCTGGCCCTGCAGGAGCCGGAGCAGCAGCTCAGGAGGGCAGGGCAGCACCTGGACACCCCCTGGGCACCCCCTCTGGGCTTTCTTCCCTGGCCTCAGTTTCCCTTGGGAAGCACATCCTGCTCCTCCCAGATCCCTGCAGGCTCTGGCTTTGGCACTGCCCAACCCGAGGTTGTAACTTTGGTGTAAATTCCTGCCCGAATATCCCTGGGCAAGGGTCCCTACAATTATTGGAGTTTCCCTACTGCTTGTCTTGGAAATAGTGGGATTGTTTTGTCTGGCTGTGAAATTTTTCTCTTTAAAGAGCTGAGGATTGCAGGTAAGAACTGCAGCTCTGAAAGGGGAGGGAATAATTCCTTCAGGTGAGTTTGGCTGTTGCCCTTTGCAGGAGAAGTGGAAATGTTCTTAAGGAGGGACTCAGCCTGGATTTGGTGATTTTAGTAGAATCACAGAGTTTGGGGGTTCTGTAATACACAGGAATGCTGAAAAGTACAGAACAAGTGAGGAATATTGAATTACTTCTTTCACATTTTGGTATTTCTAGTTGAAACTGGAACTGGCATCATTACTGCCAGATTTAATTGAAATTAACTATTTGATTTTATAGAAACAAATCCAAGTGTGTTGATCAAATAAGCCAGTGAATTATGAAATAATGAAAAATAATGCAAATAACTAAATACATCTGGGGGAGAAAGAATTTTCTTATAGGTGAAGAATGGTTGAAAAATCTTTTATTTAATATTTTTATTTGTAACATTTATTTAAAGGTAAAAAAAAACTGTCCTGAACTTTGCCATACTAAGATTATTAACCAGAACACCAGCATTAGGATCCAGCATTTCTGGCAGAATCTAGTTTATTTTATTCCACGTTCCATTCACAAGATGAATTTTTCAGGGTCTATTCAACCTTAAGTTACTTGGGATAAACCCAAATCTGATTTTTTTACCTGTTAAATCACCTGTGAGGTGACAAATGGAATTAGTGCCATGGGGAATAAACCCTTTAAAGGCTCATTGAACCCCCATGGCTTTAGAAACTCACATTTTTTATCTGCTGGTGAAATATTCTTTTAAAAAAATTCATCTGAACACACACATGACCCCCCTCAAATAAGAAGTGGGAGAAAATGGATGTTAAAATAGTAAAATTAATTTAAAATTCCAGTTTTGGTCACTTCTGGGCCATTTAGCTGAGGAAGAGTGAAGATTTATTTGTATTTTTAGTGCAGATGTCTGTGGTTCCGAGGCAGATCTTCATTCCGAGCAGGAGCCCAGCTCCCAGAGAGATTCCTGCCCCAGTCCTGGTGGGAATGCTGCATTTGGAGCCCATTGTCAGCTCTGCTTCCAGCAAACTCTTTCTGTATTTATAGCTCCCAGAGCCATAGGGAGGTTTTTATCCCCCAGGCCCTCCTGGAGCTGAGGCTGGAGAGCTGCAGTGTTCCCATCCCGAATGTTCCTGGAGAGCTGCAGTGTTCCCATCCCATCCCCAATGTTCCAGGAGAGCTGCAGTGTTCCCATCCCATCCCGAATGTTCCTGGAGAGCTGCAGTGTTCCCATCCCATCCCATCCCGAACCCGAATGTTCCTGGAGAGCTGCAGTGTTCCCATCCCATCCCATCCCATCCCATCCCGAATGTTCCTGGAGAGCTGCAGTGTTCCCATCCCATCCCATCCCGAATGTTCCTGGAGAGCTGCAGTGTTCCCATCCCATCCCGAATGTTCCTGGAGAGCTGCAGTGTTCCCATCCCATCCCATCCCAAATGTTCCTGGAGAGCTGCAGTGTTCCCATCCCATCCCATCCCATCCCATCCTGAATGTTCCTGGAGAGCTGCAGTGTTCCCATCCCATCCCGAATGTTCCTGGAGAGCTGCAGTGTTCCTACCCCATCCCGAATGTTCCTGGAGAGCTGCAGTGTTCCCATCCCACCCCATCCCGAATGTTCCTGGAGAGCTGCAGTGTTCCCATCCCATCCCGAATGTTCCTGGAGAGCTGCAGTGTTCCCATCCCGAATGTTCCTGGAGAGCTGCAGTGTTCCCACCCCATCCCAAATGTTCCTGGCTGCTCCATGCTGCACGTGCAGGGGAACGGGATATTTGGGGCTTCTCCTCCCTGCTTTTACACATTTCTTGCCGAGCACATAATTCCAGTTCACACGTTCACAATTCCAACGTTCACATGTTCTATTATCTGAAAGAAAACCCACATCTGAGCATCTGTGCAATGCCTCTCCTGGAGCTGGGATAGCTACAGGAAACCAAAAACTGCTTCAGGAGAGTCAAAACTGCCTCCTTTAATATAGAAATGAAGTTTTGTTTTGTTGGTTTAGGAGAGTCAAAATTGCCTCCTTTAATATAGAAATGAAGTTTTGTTTTGTTGGTTTAGGAGAGTCAAAATTGCCTCCTTTAATATAGAAATGAAGTTTTGTTTTGTTGGTTTAGGAGAGTCAAAACTGCCTCCTTTAATATAGAAATGAAGTTTTGTTGGTTTAGGAGAGTCAAAATTGCCTCCTTTAATATAGAAATGAAGTTTTGTTTTGTTGGTTTAGGAGAGTCAAAACTGCCTCCTTTAATATAGAAATGAAGTTTTGTTTTGTTGGTTTAGGAGAGTCAAAACTGCCTCCTTTTAGTGTAGAAATGAAGTTTTGTTTTGTTTTGTTGGTTTAGGAGAGTCAAAATTGCCTCCTTTTAGTGTAGAAGTGAAGTTTTGTTTTGTTGAAGTTGAGTTAGGAGAGTCAAAGTTTTCTCCTTTTATTATAGAAGTGAAGTTTTGTTTTGTTGAAGTTGGTTTAGGAGAGTCAAAATATTCTGCTTTTAGTATAGAAATTGCCTCCTTTTATTATAGAAGTGAAGTTTTATTGAAGTTGGTTCAGTAGAATCAAAATTGCCTCCTTTAGTATAGAAATGAAGTTTTGTTTTGTTGAAGTTGCTTTAGGAGAGTCAAAATTGCCTCCTTTTATTATAGAAGTGAAGTTTTGTTTTGTTGAAGTTGAGTTAGGAGAGTCAAAGTTTTCTCCTTTTATTATAGAAGTGTTTTGTTGAAGTTGGTTCAGGAGAGTCAGAATTGCCTCCTTTTAGTACAGAAGTTTTGTTTTGTTTGGGGTGACAGAGCTCCAGTAAAAGGGAATAAAGAGGCCTCTGCATTTCCTCAGTGGCTGGTGTTGGTTTATCCCAGTTAATTGACTGGGGGTTGCTAATTGCTGTGAGCAGGGAGGGTGCAGCTGTGTAGGGCACTGCCAGCTCCTGGTGCTAATGAAGCCCCAGGCCTGGTGTTTCACAGAGCCAAGCCCTGGGACAGGATTCCTGCTTTTCAGTGGATTTAGAGATTGAAATGCAGGTGTGATCTCCGAGCTGTGCCCACCCTGCAGCTTCCACAGCTGGCCTGGTGTGACACTCCCCTTGTCCCTCAAGCTCCTTCCATGGCCCTCCCGTTTCCTGGATTTCTGGTTTCATTTCTCCCAGCTGGAGGAGCTGCTGAGCATCACAGGCTGAGGGAGCTTCCCTGCTTTGAGAGGATTTTGCCTCCCCACATTCCCAGGGACAATTCCTGCCCAGGATCCCATCCATCGCTGTCCTCTGGCAGTGGGAACCATTCCCTGGCTGCTGTCCCTGCTCCCTCTGGGCTGTCCCTGCAGCAGGACAGCCCCAGTGCTGTCCTGGCTGATCCCAGCAAGCTGTTCCCACAGAAATCAGGTGTTTTTCCTTCCAGCTTGAGCTGCCAGGGCTGCTTTTGTGAGAGCAGCCTGGGCTCAGCATCACTAACAGCACTTTACAATAGGTACAAGGGAAAAGCAGTGTCATTTTTCTGTTTAAACCCTGGTTTCTGCTCATTGTGGTTGGAATGTCAGGAATTTCTGTTCTCTGGCCTGTTTTTGCAGAGCACCATCCCCTTTTCCTCGGATTCCACTTGTGCCAGCAGCAGCTCCTGGGGACCGAGCTCTGCCCTCAGAAACAAGCGGCGGACACGGATGCTGAACAAAGGGATCCAGGCAGGTGAGACCTGAATCCCAGACTTCCCTGAGCTCCTCCTGCCTTTCCTGTCTTTGGAACCCCTTCTCCACAGTCTGGGAGTTTCTGGTGATGGGCCTGCGCAGGCAGCACTCTCCAAATTCCCTTCAGTGCTGTCAGAGAGGGGCAGTGTGTTCAGTGAACATGAGCTGTTTTAATTGCCATTCTTGGGCTGCTTTAATAACCAATATTCTCACCTGTAAACTGATTAACCTCAGCTCCTGCTCCATTTCAGTGGCAAAGGTGAGCTGCCTTTTTTATCTATTGTTTTTTTTTTCCCCAAGACATCTGTTCCTCCCAGAATGGGTTTTGTAGGCATATGCTATTTCAGAAGGCAACTGCAGTGTTCCGTGTTCTTCCTGGGAATATTTTGGGTGTTCAGTTCTATTTCAGTCCCGAGCTGCTCCTGGCCTGGTGCAGTTCTGCAGTTGGGTTTTTTTCTGGTGGCAATTAGCAGTTTCTTCACTGCTTTCATTTCCACGCCAACTCCCCATCATCACATTGAGTAATGGCCTTGGTTTATTCATCAGATACAGCAATTATTTATTTATTCCTGCTTGTGTGCGAGCGGATTGAATCAGGGAAGCATTTTCACAGGGCAGAGTTAATTCCAGCTTCATTCCCACCCCCAGACAAATGTGTGTTTTGCTCGGGGTATTTGGTTTTAATTTCACTCAGATTATCACACAGCCACAATCCCGAGCCATTGCAAACTCTCCTTGGTTTGGGGAGGTGGGGATGGAGAAGGCTTTGGCTGCTGGAGGTGGGTGAAGCACAGGTTCTTGGCTTTTAAAAGTAAAAGTAAACAGCTTTTTACAGGTTCTTCCCTCTGAGCTGGAACGGGGCCGTTCCCTGCACACGAGAGTGAGGGGTCCCCACTCTGTTTCTGTTCCAGGAGACCTGGAGATCGTCAGCAGCGGCACCAGGAGGAACACCAGGGACGTGGGGGTGACCTTCCCCACGCCCAGGCACAGCCAGGAGCCCGTGGGGCACAGCCAGGAGCCCGTGGGGCACAGCCAGGAGCTCAGGGGACACAGCCAGGAGCCCGTGGGGCACAGCCAGGAGCTCAGGGGACACAGCCAGCAGCTCAGGGGACACAGCCAGCAGCTCAGGGGACACAGCCAGGAGCTCAGGGGACACAGCCAGCAGCTCAGGGGACACAGCCAGGAGCCCGTGGGGCACAGCCAGCAGCTCAGGGGACACAGCCAGGAGCCCACAGCACCCAGGCACACTGGCCCTGGCACCTGGCAGCGGGCACCCACGGACAGGCTCCCCACGGACAGACGGACAAGGAGCAGCAGGCTGCACTTGCAGCAAGGTCAGCACCACGGGGAGCTGGGGACAGCCAGCCCTGCCACAGCCACTGGCATTTCACTGGGCTCAGACCCTGCCCAGGGGCTGCAGAGCTGGAGTCTGGTGGTGTTTGCAGGCAGACACGGCTGCAGGAGGTGCTGGGGAGGGGGGAATAAACAGACTGGAGAGGGGGAATAAACAGGCTGGAGAGGGGGAATAAACAGGCTGGAGAGGGGGGAATCTTGCAGGTACTTTATACCAACTTCTGAGATAGAGAACATTCTGTTAAACTCTCCCTGCTGGTCACCACCTTGTCCTTACTGTCTCATGCCCTGAGGCTTCCCAGATTTTTCCAGAGTACTTGAGTGGAAATTGGGAAGAACTCAACTTGTTTTTGAGAGTTGCATTTTTAGGCTGCTGGTGGAGTCTCAGGAAGTTTTCATTTTTTTGTCTCTCTTAAATTCCTGCCACTCTTCACAACGTCACAATTAAATGTTTAAAAATATTTCCCTTACTCATCACTGTTGTTGTGGGGACTGATCATTCTCTCCCATAAGGGTTTAATTTAGAAAATTCAGAATATCTGCTCAGAATCCCAGCTGATGTATTCACATCATTGTGTGTGTAAACTGTGAGTAACAATTCCTGGAGACACACTGAACATTTGGGTGATGAAAGCATTTATCTTCCAAAATGTGGATAAAGAGCCACAGGCCTTAGGCCTAACACAGAGGCTCCTTAAGAATGTGTGATTGCTGGTAATTAAGTGTTCTTTCCATGGAGAGAAACCTGGAAAATGAACAATTCTGGGCTTTTCCAAAGTGGTGTTTGATAAAGATTTGCTGGTTTTGGGACACCTGAGGAGGGAATTCTCTTGAACCTGCCCAAGGTGTTTCCTGCAGGAATTCCCTCTGCACTGGTTGGGTTCAGCTGCAGACCTGGGCCCTGCTGAGGTTTAACCCCCTGCTCCTTCCCTTCCCAAGGGATGTGGGGCAGGATGGGGAGGGGGAGGAAACCATTGGGATGGAGACAGGTTAATAGGGAAAGGAGCACAGCAGGACAAGGAATTCGTTCTCCACTTGGAGAATCCTGGAATGGGTTGGGTTGGAGGGACCCCAAATCCCCCCAGTGCCACCCCAGCCACGGCAGGGACAGCTCCCAGTGTCCCAGCAGCTCCAGCCCCAGTGTCCAGCCTGGCCTTGGGCACTGCCAGGGATCCAGGGGCAGCCCCAGCTGCTCTGGGAATTCCATCCCAGCCCCTGCCCACCCTGCCAGGAACAATTCCTGCCCAAAATCTGGTGTAAACCTGCCCTCCTTCAGCTTCCTCCTTCCCCCTGTCCCAGGTCCCTCTGCAGCTCCTGGGAACCCCCCTGTAGGCACTGGAGGGACTTGGGAGATCAAGGCACCACCATTCCCAGTGTTCCCCTCCTTCTTCACTCAGCTGTCTCCTGCCCATGATCTGGGGTACCCTGGGGTCAGCTGGGATCACCTCTCCTGCCTGTGTCCCCTCCCTGCTCTTTGTTGTCCCCTCAGCCTCTGGGATTCCTCCAGGAATAAAGGACCGTGGATTGGGATGGACAGCAGGAATTGTCTCAAACCTTTCTCTTCCGTGCTCTTTTAACAGGGACTCAGTGGCTTGTCCCAGCAGAGGACTTGAAATGTGAATGGAGGAAAGAAAACCAGTCCAGTGCCGTTCCTGGCCCTGGGCCAGCCTGGTTTGAGCCCTGGAGCAGCACCAAGGCCTGGAGGGAGCCCCTGCGGGAGAAGAACTGGGAGCAGCAGCCCAGCCTGGGCCGGGCAGGGGCTGGCAGGGGGCTGGGGCAGCCCCTGGGGAAGCTGACCCTGCAGGTGAGGGCACCAGGGCCAGCCTGGGAGCCATGGGATGCTCCTGGCAGCAGCCTGTCTTTCCCCACAACGGCTCCACGGTTCATTTCCCCCACAGGGATTAAATCCCTTGGCTTCAGGACACAGAGGGATGTAGCTGGCAGAACATCCCACCACACTCCTTTCCACACAGAAATAATTCTCAGGTGTACATAGCATGAGATCAAAATGAGTTTTTAGTACTCTTTATTATTATTTTAGGTTTTTTATTTTCTGGCCAGTTTATTTCCACATTGTTAAACCTCTTTGTTAAACCATTGTTAAACATTGTGAGCACCTACCCAGCGCCAAGGACAGGAGTTTCATATTACAGCCAGTATTAGGATGGGGTTTTTTCCATGCTTTGGGGTTTGTGGTGGATGTTTTGTGTCTCCCCCACAGCTGCCAGCCCCAGTTTGTGTGTCTGTGTCCCCCCAGGAGGCCCTGGCCCTGCACCGCCCCGATTTCATCTCGCGCTCGGGACAGCGCCTGCGGCACCTGCGGCTGCTCCGCGAGGAGAGGAGGCTGCAGAGGCTGCTGCAGTCCCAGAGGGAGCAGCTGCAGTCCCAGAGGCTGCTGCAGTCCCAGAAGGAGCAGCTGCAGCTGCTGCAGTCCCAGAAGGAGCAGCTGCTGCCATCCCAGCAGCTGTTGCAGCCTCCAGGGAAGAGACAGACCTGCAGGACTGCAAATCACCGAGGTACTTCAGGGGTCTGCCTGGAATTCTTGGATTTCATGGACCCCACATTATGCTTCAGGGTGTATTTATTTATTGTTTGTTTCTCATAAAGGCATTGCAGTTATTTAACCCTGCTGCCTGCAAGATCTTACAAGGAGTTTTTTGTAACAACTTCTCTAAAGCTGATAAAGGACTCACCTTGCTGCAGGAACAAACTTGTTCATTCCTTCACTTACCTCAAAATTTTCTGTTCAGGTTTCCTGGTGAAAGAAAAAAGAAGAGCAATTCCCAAGAGAGAAATGTTTCAAAGATCTAAAAGGTAAAGTTCAGGGAGTTTTATTTCAGGTGGATCAGGGCCCTGGGTAGGGAAGAGCTCTGCCTGCAGCCAAAGAACCGGGTGTGCAAATAACTCAGCTTTTTCAGTGAAAAATGCAGGTGTCTCATCAGAGGGAGGAGAAATGTCCTGCTTAGAAATTCCAAAAAACAAAATCATTTTGGAAAAGTGATTTCTGTAGCTAAAGCTGAGGGTTCTGCTGCAGTGTCAGCCACCCACAAACAGGGTCCCAAGTGGAGAGGGAGTGGGGCTGGGGGACACTGGAGCATCTGAGTTCACAAATTAACCAAGTGTTAATTGGGGCAGGAGTGAGGCAGCATTTTCCCCAAAGGAAGAGGCTTTCTACAGCAATAATCACCCCAAGAGAACACAGGTGAATTTATCCAATTTACCCTTGGATAAACCACCCTAGGAAAGGTCTTCTCTCATTTCTGACTGCAGGAATTGATCTCTGCAGTGCCCACCCACGTGGATTTACCCTCTGGAGCAGCTGTGCTGCAGAGGGAGCCTGGGGAGGGATAACAAAAAGTGGGAGTTGATTGCAGCTGAATTTTGCTATAAATGGGATGTGAAGCGCTGGGCCAGGACCCCACAGAGGTGGCAGAGCCATTGGAAATGTCCAATATCCTTGGAAATAATCACAGCTTGCTGGGATGAGGCCTGAGGAGCCTGACCCAGCCTTGGAATTAGCCCTGCTTTGAGCAGGAGCTTGGTGACCCCCAGAGTGTTCTGCCAACCTCAGTTTCTCTGTGATCCCACAAAATACCTACTGAAATACATAAAATAAACCCCTTGGTGACTTGTAATTATTTTAATGGTTTTTATGATACGTTTTAATGATTTTTAGCATTTAAAAGTATTGTTAGGCTGTCTGGGGAAGGTGTCCCTGCCCAGGGCAGGGGTGGCACTGGACGGGCTTTGAGGTCCTTCCACCCCAAACCATTCCAGGATGCCACAGTTGAAGGAAAATTGATTGGGGCAGCATCAGCACAGGAGAAGACAAAGCAGGGCAGCACCACTGAAAGTTTGGAAATGCCTGAAAAGCCTCAGTGAGGTGATGGCTGTGCTGAGCTCTGCCATGGCAGGGGGACGTGGCTGGGGATGCCTGGGGGTGTCCTGGGCTGGGGACACTGGGGACACTGAGCTCCAGCTGCTCCAGCTGGGTCACCCCAGCAGGGCAGAGCTGCTCTGAGGAGCTGCTGGGGCAGGAAAGGTGTTCAGGGACAGGAGAGGTGTTCCAGGGGCACAGGAGAGGTGTTCAGGGGCAGGAGAGGTGTTCAGGGACAGGAGAGGTGTTCCAGGGACAGGGGAGGTGTTCCAGGGGCACAGGAGGTGTTCCAGGGACAGGAGAGGTGTTCCAGGGGCACAGGAGGTGTTCCTGGGGCACAGGAGGTGTTCCAGGGGCAGGAGAGGTGTTCAGGGACAGGAGAGGTGTTCCAGGGACAGGAGAGGTGTTCCAGGGACAGGAGAGGTGTTCAGGGACAGGAGAGGTGTTCCAGGGACAGGAGAGGTGTTCAGGGACAGGAGAGGTGTTCCAGGGACAGGAGAGGTGTTCAGGGGCAGGAGAGGTGTTCCAGGGACAGGAGGTGTTCAGGGACAGGAGAGGTGTCCAGGGACAGGAGAGGTGTTCAGGGGCAGGAGAGGTGTTCCAGGGGCACAGGAGGTGTTCAGGGACAGGAATTCCCAGGCTCAGGCTGCTGTGGATTCCATGATTTCCCAGTGGGACAGCAGCACACTCCAAACACGTTTATCAGGGGTGTGCTTGGCCAGCAGTGGTGGGGATGAAGCAGAGGCTGTGGATTTAGTGGCAGGCAGGCTCACCTTGCTCCCTGGTCAGGCTCTACGAGCAGCTCCCCGAGGTGAGGAGGAAGAGGGAGGAGGAGCAGAGGAAGCTGGAGTACAGCTCCCACCGCCTGCAGGCTCGGCTCTACAGAACTGTGAGTGTCCTTCTGCAGGGTGCCAGGGAGTGGGGACTGGGG